GGTCGAGGCCTGAAACGTCAGCCTTTCTGCTCCTATGATGCTGCTTGGCCTGCTGTGTTCATCCAGCTCTGCACCTTGTTGTCTCTTTGGAATATTGTGAGCAGTTTTGGGCCCTGTATCTAAGGAAAGAAAGGCTGGCTTTGGAGGGTGTCCAGAGAAGGTTTACAAGAATGATCCCAGGGATGAATGGCTTGTTATATAGGAGTGGTAGAGGACTCTGGGTCTGTACTTAGAGTTTAGAAGGATGAGGGGAGGATCTGATTGAAACTTACAAAATACTGGATAGAGTGGACATGGAGAAGATTTTCCCCCAGTACCCAAGGACACAGCCTCAGAATGAAGGGATGACCCATAGAACTGAGATGAGGAGGAAATTCTTCAGACAGAGGGTGTTAATCTGTGGAATTCATTGCCATAGAGGGCTGTGGAGGATAAATTATTAAGTGTATTTAAGACAGATAGATAGATAGGTTCTTGATTGGTAAGGGGATCAAGGGTTACGGAGAGAAGGTAGGAGAATGGGGTTGGGAAACATATCAGCCATGATTGAATGGTGAAACAGACTCTGGGCCGAATGGCCTAACTTTGCTCCTTTGTCTTATGGTCTTATAACAACCTGCATTGTTACAGAGCAAAATATTATTGTTGCTGGAGCCTAAGAGTTGTACTTAATGACAGTTAGTGTAGGATATCCCATAGGACCATTGGATTTAGGATGATCCAATCTTCATTTGCTATTCACTAAAGGAAGGTTGTGAAGGTTAATTTAATCAAGATTGTTTTCATTAAACAATAAGACTAGAAGTCACTGCAGAATATAATTCTCATTGGGGTTTTATAGACTCTCCACGCTGCTCACAAAGTAGAAGTCTTCTTTTTGTTTAAAGGTGTGTTGTTATTTTCCCATTATACAGAACAGAACTGATAATGTTTAGTTCTAGTGTTTGTACGTTAGAGGGATTGGTGCTTGGAAATCTTTCGAAGGCTGCTGTCCAAACCAGGAGCTGGTTTGAAACTGCAACAGAAGCAAGAGAAATATTGGAGTTAGTGCATTGAAATTACTCCAAAATATCATCATCATAGAATCCCTACAGTGTGGAAACAGGTCCTTCAGTCCAACAAGTCCACACCACCCCTCAGAGCATCCCACCCAGACCCATCCCCCTAATCTACACATCCCTGAACATTACAGGCAATTTCGCATGGCCAATCCACCTTGCCTGCACATCTTTGGTCTGTGGGAGGAAACCCACGCAGATACAGAGAGAATGTGCAAACACCACACAGACAGTCCCCCAAGGGTGGAATCGATCCCAGGTCCCTGGCACTGTGAGGCAGCAGTGCTAACCACTGAGCCACCGTGCCGCATTGTTTGAATAAGCATAATATATGGGTGGTCTTTTTTTTCCATTTAAGGACCTTTTATCATGGCAGTATCTTTGGTACTATGTTTTATCATTCAATGACATCAAGTGCCATCTACTTTGAAGGCTTACCAATTGTGAAATTGTGACTAAAGGTCAAAAAGGATTAACTTGCAGTTGATCAACATTAACTTCTATGATACGTCTGTTTATTATATTTCTGATGTTTGTTTCATTCCCCAAATTTGGTATTGGTGAATTTCCTTCATTAGTGAACGAATGTTTGTCTCTTTTTTGATAATTTTCCATATTTATTTCTTGCCTTTGTTTTTTATTCATGGAATTTTTGCATTGCTGGTTAGGCCAGCATTTGTCATCCATCCCAAAACATTTAAATATCCCCCAGCCCTTGTCAGAGTTCAGCAAAGAATGTTGATATGACAGTTTCTCTATTACCCTAAATGATGCATATGTGAAAGAAGTTGCATTCAGAGAGTGCGTTCCACAAGTTCAGATATCCCAAAGTCCTTCACGTCCATAAATTAATTTTGAAGTGGAATCATTTACATGGTCAAACACACATACAACTGTTTAGAAAATGTACACATTAGGCTAAAAAAATCACTTATGTGGCACAACTACATTGATATTTTTCTCAGTAGCAAAAGTACCATGGGCCACTAACCCCTTGGGTTGCTTCAGTGCTATTTCTCACACACAGGTTGAGCAGGTAATGCCTGGCACCCCTGGCTGAGGATTTTATGTGGTTTGTGCAGAAGAGCACTGAAACACCACTACCTGAACCAACTTGCAGCCTATTTAGCTGGCAGGGAAATTGATTCAGTTAGGAATGTTTCATGTACTTTAGATAAATCAGTTTACCCCATGTAAATCTTTTATACTTACATGTATAAAAAGAATATGGAGGTATAATGAGTACAAGCTATATGAAAATAGATTATTTTAAGCTACTCAATTTCTGTAAAGATATTTTTAAGTAAATCTACAGGACACAAATATTCTGATTTGGTAGAAACCCATGACCCTTATTATTTATACAGTCAGTAAATTTATTGTGCTCATAAAGGTAAAAGTGAGTAGAACTTCCTCTAAAGTCACTTTTTAATTTGTAGGGAGGCTAGATAACAGCCCTTTTCATGATTAAATAACATAGAGACAACATGGTACTGTACATAACTGCTTGTGGATTCTATATTTGCTTAATATTGTAAATAATCAGTACACTTGTACAAGGAAGATTGACCCATGTCCAGTAGGAATAATTTTGTCTATTTTCCTAATATGTGTATGTTATCGTATTTTAACAGGAGAAAAACCATTTGAGTGCAACATCTGTGGGAAACACTTTTCACAGGTAAAATCGTTTTTCTAAAGTACACTCAGAGATACTCTAAATTTTTTGTTTTATAAAAAACAGATTTAAAACATGCAAATATCAGCACTTCGTCTGTGGTGCTGGATTGTTGCATTGATAGCTTGTTGGATTCCATGGTTTCATCTGTTCCCTACAGTGGATCTGTGCATCTTTCTTTTATGGCAGTGATCTCTGAACACTTTAACCCAGTGAGTTAACAACTGTGGGCCCTGATCCAGACCATGGGTGGGATTTTCCCAGGTCTGCGTGGGCAATAGTGAGAGAGTTGGGAAAAGCCAGCAACAATGAAACACAGATTCTCAATGCTAAGAGAAGATTTGCTGATTTTTTTTTCCCCTTACTGTTTAAACGGCAAGTTCTGAATGTTGCTAATGAGCAATGACTAGCTTATTTTCATGTGTTTGCGTCTCATTAATTGCTAAATTCACTTCATTGCTGTGCAGCCCTCAATCCCAGCCTTCCTTCCTTCAGAAACCCAACAGCACAGATTACTGACATGTATGTCAGAGCAGTTAGCTAATGTCACAGCTCACTGCTTGCATCTCTGTGCCCTCACCCAGCTCTGCCATCGCCACCGTTTCCCCACATGTTCCATGGATACCATTCTCCTCCACCCATCCTTCACACAACCAGGCATCTCCAGACCACCAGCCTCACCACATGAGGCTTTCGAAACAATAGCCTGAAGGCTGATGGGGTTGACAGGAGTAGTAGTGCTGGATTTGATTTGATTTATTGTCGACATGTACCTAAGAACAGTGAAAAATTTTGTTTTGCGAGCCGTGCAGGCAGATCATTAGCAAACAAGGACATACAGATGATGAGTTGCTTAGACAGAGCAAGGCATACAAGGTTACAGCTGCACAGGAGGTGTGCAAAGCAAGGTCAACATTATTTGAAGTTAGAGACGTTCAATTAGCAGTCTAATTACAGCAGGGAAGAAGCAGTTGTTGAGCCTGTTGGTGCGTGTGTTCAAACTTCTGTATCTTCGGCTTGACGGAAGAAGTTGGAAGAGAGCATTACCAGGATGGGAGGGATCGTTGATGATGTTGGTAGCTTTTCCACAGCAACGAGCCGTGTAAGTGGAGTCCATGGATGGGAGGTTGGCCTCCGTGATGGTCTGGGCTGTGCACACAGCCTTCTGTAGTTTCTTACGGTCCTGGGCAAAGTAATTGCTGTACCAGGTCGTTGTGCACCCAGATAGTATGCTTTCTATGGTGCATTTGTAAAAGTTAGCGAGGGTCCTTATGGACGTGCCAAATTTCCTAAGCAAGCCGAGGAAGAAGAGGCGTTGTTGTGCCTTCTTGATCATTGCATCTGCGTGGGAAGTCAAGGACAGATTGTTGGATATCGTCACTCCTAGGAACTTGACTCTCACGACCCTCTCCACCTCAGCTCCATTGATGTAGATAACGATGTGTCCCCCTCCTTATCTTTGCACCATGACACCAAGAATTCTGTCTCCTTTCTGTATTCTGACCTGTTATTGTTTGATATCCGTCCTACCACGGTGGTGTTGTCGGCAAACTGGTAGACGGCGATCATGCAGAATTTGGCTATACAGTCGTGAGTGTACAGGGAGTACAGCAGGGGGCTGAGAATGCATCCTTGTGGGGCACCAGTGTTGAGGATTATCGTGGAGGAGGTGCTGTTGTCTGTCTTCACTGATTGCGGCCTGTGGGTGAGGAATCTGAGGATCCAGTTGCGGATGGCGGAGCCGAGACCTAGGTCTTGGAGTTTTGAGGTTAGTCTGGTAGGGATTATGGTATGGAAGATGGAGCTGCAGTCGATGAGTAGGAACCTGATGTAGGTGTCCTTGTTATCCAGATGTTCCAGGGATGAGTATAGGGCTATGGAAGTGATGACCACTGTGGATCTGTTTCACCAGTAGGCAAATTGCAGGGGATCAAGGCAGGCTTGGAGGTTGGAATTGATGTGGGCCATGACTAGCCCCTCGAATCATTTCATGATTACGGGGGTCAGAGGCACTGGGCGGTAGTCATTAAGGCATGTTGCATGTATTTTCTTAGATACGTCTTCAATACAAAATGAAACATGAAGCATTAGGCTAGTCCTGACTGTTGGGCAGATTATCACAAAAGTGCAAACATGCTCTCTTTGACCAAACTTCCAACAGCCCAATAAGCAAGCAAAATGGATGCTGAAAGCATTCACAGTGGATGGAGTAAGTATTTATTTATCTGCAGTGGCATTGTTCATGATGTGATGCTCTGCTTGATGGAAATCAGGCATCCATAGGTGCAGTGATAGCATGCATCTGCCATCAAACTGCACTTTATTTGCATGTCATGCATTGACCAACAATGCACATTACAACGCTTGGTCTCAAGCTAGCATGACCACTCCATTGCTTATAACAATTCAATCCTTGTCATTCTCTGAGAAGCTGATGTGACCGCAGGTGAACCAACTTTGTTTGCCAATTCATAGACACAGTCCACTGGTCTCGTTGCTGCACAGAGCTGCTATCCTTGCACACTGACCAGTAAGTATCTAAGTACATGGTCTGTTATAGTCAGTGAAGCTATGAGAGTTTCATCTGTCCTTCCGCACGATTGTGTATACCAGGCACCCGAGAGGTCAGTTGCATGATTAAGGAGCTGAAGCGCAGACAACTGTTTGAGAAAAGTCGACATGGACCATGCTGGACCACTCACCATGAATCTCCCTAAAAATGACCATTTGCCAACTAAAATGGGAGCATTCAGCCCCATGTCTTTTGCATGTATCCCTTCAATTTCAATAGACAGACCAAGTAAATACTAGATGAGGCAAAGCTTGATCCAAGCTCCTCAATAACATAGTAAGATGAACAGATAGAGCCATAGTTATGATTGGTATTCCTAATTCATTTGATCTAGTTTATCTTTATGTCCTGACATAAAATTAGCAATCACGTTTCACCATCTCACTTTATAACAAGATTTAAACTGTTATATTTATGAGCCTTCCTGTGCTGGGATATTTCACCCCAGCAGCTTCTTAGTACCGGAACTAGACTGTATTTTAACTCTCTTTATTGTTGTTTTATTCCCTATTGTTCATAGTTAGAATCAAATTTTAAAAAGCATCCAATGGTATAGATGTGCAGGATTTTTTATTAATTAAGGCTACTAAATTGCTTATTGTTTGGAGTCTACAGGAAAACATCATCATGGTTAACTCACTAACATTCTTTTTACCTACAGTCTCAGTCATTTTCTTTATTTGAGGATAGAAACAATGTAGTAAAGCACAGCCGTTAAAATGACTTTTTTCCCTTTGAATAATTTCTGTGGAAAATTGCCTCAAGGTTCTGAACTATATCAAGGATTTACCTTTATGAGGAAATGGCTCCTCATTATGGCTAATGTCAGATAGTAAATGCAATGTGCCACAGTTAACATTACCTTAAAGTAACAAGAAAATGGTTCCAGCATGAATACTGTAAAAACAATGTATCCTTCATCTTCTGATTCCTAATGGGAATCCTAATTTCCCAACATATGGTGACTTTATGGGATCTAAATTTTTTGTGTGTTTCTTTTAGAGCTGTTCTATTTCAGTGAATTTGAATTTCCCGCATAGAAAGTAGTAGTAAAGACTTGGGGCTAAGAAAGTTATTAACTCCAATATCAGTTTATTCAAATGAAGAATTATTAGCTTGACTTGTTACCATTAGGCCTCCAATTTACAAATAGATGCTTGTCAAGTAGTTAATTCAGTATGTTTTGCACTGTTGCCCATTGAATTAAGAGGAAGCCATCAATAAATGTTAGAAGTCATGAGTACTGTTTTGCAGTTACATTTTACACTAACTTCAGTTTAATTTGGAAAGAATGGGCAAACTTGTTGGTGTAGTCCTCAGTGCTTCTGCTAATTATAGCCGTTTGGATCTCCTCGTAAGTATTGGTGGGATTTGAAATTTATGACCCAGAAATTCCAATGGCCAGATTGTCTTTTCTGCAGCGTAGACTGGAGTTGTGTGCCAGACCATGCAAAATTTCTGACATAGCTGATTGGGAAAATTTCCAAAGAAATTGAAAATTCTGGTAGTCAGTTCCCCTGCATTTGGAACCCTCCATGAACATCCCTTAAAGTCAATTTCCAAGAATGGGGCTCATTTAAGCCTAATAATACACAGGAAATGTTTGAGGATTAAAAACCTATTCTAACTCCTGAGTAGCTGTTAAACTGAACCCCTGACTCACCACAGATGCCCCTCTCCCAAATACATTTCTCCTCAATCCCCAGCACCCACTGTTTCAATGCTACTGGTCCAATATCATCGCACCATGCTCCCTTTCCAAACTGATCCTGAAGCCTCCGCAGCCCAGCAAACCACTGACCCAACCCAACTGCAGGTGGTGGAGGGTCCTTTGAAAGATTAATCTCAATTCCCCGTGCCCCCCACATTCCCAATATGAACCTGCCATAGTCGCCTGGCCATGGTCTGGGATGGAGGCATGCCAGTGTCTTTTTCCCACGTTACTAACTGGAAGTCCCAGTACGGGTGTGGGAACAGGGTTTTGATAGACCCTGTAATTAACCCAAACTACTCTCATGTGGGTCACATATTACTTGCCTGCAGGCAGCTTTTCCAAACTTGACCTTGCAGCTTAGAAGCATCTTAAAGTTCTGAGGGTCACCCTCAACCCAAAACGTTAACTGATTTCTTTCCACAGATGCTGCCAGGTCTGCTGTGCTTTTCCAGCAATTTCTGTTTTTGCATCTTAAAAAGTGGTTTGGTGGTTCTATCAGTGACTGACCACACTTGACCATGTGTAGAGGATACTTCTATTCAAAAAAATGACAAGGATAATTGTATATATATATGGTGGGAAAGTTGCCTGTTTGGGTTTGTAAATCTCTGTGTTGTCAAACATATTAACTTGACTTTCTACTTTAATTTCTACCAGGCAGGAAATCTGCAAACTCATTTACGACGACACTCTGGTGAGAAGCCATACATTTGTGAGATCTGCGGCAAAAGGTGATTGTAGCAATCTTTTTTTTAAAGTCTGGTCATGGGATACATTGTGTTGAATTTTCCTATAGCACTGGGAGCCTATGACAGGACCATTTCTGTGCCCTGACCCCAAGGTCTCGGATATGCGTTTCATTTTATGGGAGTCATTCGCTGTTCTGCTCTTAGGGCGCGTGAGCTCTGCAGGACATTATGGCCCACTTCAATGGAGTTCAAAGACAATTAGGACAGGCAATAAATGTTGGCCCAGCCAACGATGCCCACATCCAGTGACTGAATTAAAACAGAAGTTCATAAACTATGGTAGTGTTGAGAGTATTTAACAGTCACTTAGTCTACGTTTGGTCTCACCAATGTAGAGGAGACCACATCAGGAGGACCATTGATAGCTGGATTGTCAGATCGGCAGGGGGTCTGTGCAGCCACCATCAACATCAGTGGAGCAAGTGAAAAGACAAATGCCGTCTCACTATTAGAGTCATGTAGCTCTATAATTTCAATCTGCAATGGCAAGGCCGATGTATGGGCAGACAACAACCTTGCCATTTGTTTCAGAAGGATTTTCAACAGCCAGAAAAGAATCAAGTTTGCCAGCTCCCCCTGTGGAGCCACCACCAGACTCGGTGGGAAGGTCCATACGTTACTTACACTTAATATTTTTAGGAGAAGAAAGAGTCACTAGCTTCAGCAGAGTGTACAATATTTTGAAAGTTAAAATCGTTCTTTATTTTACAAAGAAAAACACATTTGTTCTTTCTCTAAGGTTTTATTCTCTATTTCAGGTTTGCTGCATCTGGTGATGTGCAACGCCATATTGTTATTCACACGGGTCAAAAACCTCATCTCTGTGACATTTGTGGTCGAGGTTTGTGTTTGAAGTATTTCACTTCTGTTTGTATGTAAACTGTTAATACATAAATTCTGACCCTTACACCAAGATCCATTGTAGAAGGCAGAGATGGGGTCAATCTAAGTTCATCATTCTGGCTTCAAAGCTTCGTAACTATTAAGGCAGAAGGAATTGGTACTTCTGTGCCTGCTTTTAATCATGCTGGAAAGAGTTCTCTTATTTTAGACTAAGTATTGAGGTAGGTGTACAAGCAGGAGGGACATTGGTGCATGGGTCGGGTTTTCCCACATGTTTGCATTTTTCTCAGCTTATTACATATTCACCAGTGGGTAAAACACCACATTTTATGACAGGAAGCAAATTATAGCAAGGCTGAACTCAAACAGGTGATCAACTTTAAAAAGCCAACTACTGTGGTTGTGACCTTGTCCCATGCAAGCCTTTGTGCTCAGGCACAAATCCCTGGAAACTAGGCTGGTCCTCTTATAATTCACCTGACCTTGGATCCTTAAAATGTGTAAGTCTATTTTAATTGATATTTTGGGCTGAGGTACAACTCTAGTTGCAGTCAAGTCCCTTCGCATTTCACTTAGACTTTGGGTGGCATTTATTTTGAACCAATTGCTGAGCATATTATTCAGAATGCCAGCTATTGCAATCAAACCAATGAGTTTAGTTAGTTTGTGTGTCATGACTTTTCTGTTCTTATTTCTTGTGCTTCCACACCTAGCAGTACATTACTGTACAACTCAACAGTACAAATAGAGGAGTTTCTGCTTGTCAGCCAACCTATCTCTCAGAGGAGAACAAACACACCTTTCTTGATTTTCTTTTTTTCTTTTGGCCACGTGCCTGACCTCTCCCCTTCCTGCCATCATTACCCTGGCAAGCAGTAACGAGCTTTGTGGAAGATCAGAGTTGTAGAGCTAAAGACAGACTGTGGCTTGTTTCTACTGGAGTTTAGAAGAGTGAGGTATGATTTGATTGAGGTATATAAGATCCTGTATGTTCTCAGGACTGAGATGAGGAAGAATTTCCTCACTCAGAGAGTTGCGAACCTGTGGAATTCTCTACCACAGGCAGCTGTTGGGGCCAGCTCATTAGATACATTCAAGAGGGAGATGGATGTGACCCTTGCAGCTAAAAGGATCAAGGGCTTGTGGAGGGAAAGTGGGAATGGGATACTGAGATCGCATGAGCAACCATGATCATATTGAAAGGTGGTGCAGTCTCAAAGGGCCAAATGGCCTACTCCTGCACCTGTTCTGTATGTTTCCATGTTTCTTGAACAGGTGGAAATAGAAAGGATGTTTCTTTTTGTGGATGAGTCCAGAACCATGATGCACAGTTTTAAAATTAAGGGTTGTCCTTTTACGACAGAAATGAGGAGAATTGTTTTTTCTGAGAGTTGGATAGCTTTGGAACTCTGTGCCTCAGAAGGCAGCGGAGGTGGAACTGTTGAATATTTGGCGGCTGTGGAGTAAGGTGTGTCCTGCAGCCACTTATGAAATCAAGAAGCCGTGGTTGGAGCAAAAAGTGAAATTTATCTTAACTTTGTATGTATTAAATTTTTAAATAATTTATGTAATTAAAATGGCACCAGATTAATTATTGCAACTTATACACATTTTACTGCATTTATGAAAATACATGTAACAATAAATTACTTTACTATTTTTACGGTAGTGGTACATAGATTCCTGTTTGGTCAAGGAATCCAAGGTTATCAGCGGCAAATCGGAATGTGGAATTCAAAACTCAAACAGTGTAGCCATTGAGGATCTGAATGGCCTACTTCTGTTTCTCGATCATACATTTCCTGAGTGCAGAAAATTAATGGACCATGCAAATATCTTCATGCTCTTACTTTGGGGGGAGTGGCTTCACACTGGGGAATATGTTTAACAGAAATTTAGGAAGGCATAGTTAGTTGAACTGTGAAATAAATAAATCATGTGTTACAGTAATAGATTCTGATCTTATAACTCGTCTTCTGTCAGAAAATACAAGGGTTGATGGGTTTAATAGAGGTGATCAAATAAGAGCAGCCCAGAAGTAGTATATGAGCTTACGTACAATTTTTCCTATAACGCATTGATTCTATACTCACTTGCTTGTTGCAGCACTACTTGATGCTAAGAAACCAATCAAAGTCTTTGAATATTTGTGTTGCAGTATGTAGCTATGAATCTATTAATTCTAACTTGTTAAAATTTTAGGTTTCAGTAACTTCAGTAATTTAAAGGAACACAAAAAGACACACAGTGCAGATAAGCTGTTTACTTGCGACCAGTGTGGAAAGTCTTTTAACATGCAGAGGAAACTTGTCAAACACAGAATCCGTCATACAGGAGAGCGACCATATAATTGTTTAACATGCGGTAGGTTCACTGTTAAAGCATCTAGAAATATTTGTGCTTTTACATATTTTCAACAAAGTAAAACATCGTCAGTTTACCATGGCTCAGGAAGCTTTATCAGGCATTAACTGAACCACACAAATTAAGTGTGGATTCTGGTGGTGCTGAATATTTTACTTATTGCTGTAATAAAGTATTGAGCAATATAAATTATGGTCGAGGGTTTTCTTTGATTGGATAAAGAAGGGGGTTTCTTAATGTACTCCATTTTAGATTCTGATGGCACACACAGGTATTCCCAAAACTTAAAAAAGTAAAATTGTGTATTGGTGAGTTTTTGGGCTTTTTTTACAAGGTACTTTTTTACAACAGGTAATGAAATTTTACTTTATAAATATAGGCTGTGTCCAATGATTACAAAAATTGAATACCTTTATCATTCAAATACTTCAGTCTACTTCATTTTCCTACAAAGTGATCTTATTGCAATATCTTTAATACTGTCCTCAGGATCATTTGAAATACTTATAGAAACTTATTTGTCTGAAATCTTACACATATATAATTGCTTGAACTCAAGACTATCCGGTCAAATTTTCATAATGTATAGGAGGATATATATATGTCTGATCCTGCAATAAAACAAAGCAAAACAGAATTCTTCAAGATTAATTCATTGAGGGAATTCTATAACAAAGCATCCATTTCCTTTAAATTTGCGATGTAGTTCTGCAAGTGCTGAAAACCTTTCAAACAAGTGATCATTCTTTCCTTCATGATCTGCAGCAGTCTGTATCAGCAGGTTCTTAGATGATTGGATAATATGTTTTATTATCAGACTTTAAGTGTAAAAACCCACACTCATAGACAAATATACATATTTTCAGATACAGTCAATAGACAACAGGATTCTATATATTTCATGTTAATTCATTGAACACCGTAGAGTAAACACTGACATTTTTAGAAGAAATTTTCCCTGATAAGTTACAGAACACTGTATACTTAGCAGATACCCTTGTGTCCTTTTTTTTAATTTGCAGGAAAGCGGTTTGCAGGTTCTGGTGACTTGCGTCGGCATGTCCGAACGCACACTGGTGAACGGCCGTATAATTGTGAGACGTGTGGCAAGTGCTTCACCCGTTCTGCTGTGCTGCACAGACACAAGCGAATGCACTGCAAGTACAACGGAGACCATGACGTAAGAAATGAAGAGATTGATAGCTCTGAGGAAAACTATCGAGAACCTGCAGAGCCAAGGTCACCAGACTCTGAGCCGCTCAGCCAAGCTATGCAAGTTGCACTATTGCCAGTCTCTCCATTAGACAAGCTTCATGGTGACCCAGAACAGCCTGAGGCATCAGCAACCATGCATGAAAACTCTCATTCTGAATACAGTTCTTTGGTTCAACAACAAGTGGATGAGCATCAAAACAAAATGGTATTGAGTCCTGCTAAAACTCACAAGCCTCAAGCTTCCCATCATCCTAATGTTCATGCTGTTGACAGTAGTTCAAGGTCTGAAGAGCCCCTGCCGTCTCAGAACCCCTCAACTGTGCGATCATCAGTGACGAGTCTGGACATTCACATTAACGTGCCCTTTGGAAATCACACACCTAGTGTTTCATATCGAACAAATGAAGGACCATTCCTCTCTAGCCTAACGCTGTGGGGTTTGGCAATGAAAACATTACAAAATGACAATGAATTAGATCAATGACAGATTATTATCTTAATTCAGCTAATATAAGCAACTGTTGGAATGCACTCGAGTTTATTTTTGGCATAATTGCTGAGAGGGAGAAAAAAGTCTTGTGAAATGTATTTTTGTAAGTTTTAATAAATGCAATCTTAGATATTTATTAGAATCTAATCAGTGGGATCCACACAATACGTGGTCGTGCATCTTCTTATAAACAAAATTAACTATCTTGAAACACAAATGCTTCAGCAGCTTGTTTTAATGTAAAAGAACAAGTTAATTGCAATGATCATTGACCTTTATCAATCACTTACTTGTGGCGTTGCTTGATTCTTTGATTCCTTATAATCCTCATTTTGAGAGGTAAAGTCAGGTATTGTGAATCCTTAAAAAACGTTTCATGGAGTAGTTTTCCTTTTATACATCCATTACACCAGCTCCCTTTGGATCAATATTATTTGTCACTGGAATCAGCTGAAATTTGTAAATATCACACAAATCTGATCTTTTACGTTACAATATTTATAAAGGCTTTTAAGAGCTACTTTGTTAATGTTGCACACTTATTTGGTTTTGATGGTATGCAGTGCTAAAAGATTTTTCTGGTTGCAAATGCAAGTCCATTAACATTTGTGCATATTTTGCATACCTTGTTCCACTTTAGACCTGCCGTATTTCTGGATAGCAAACTCCAAAAGTAGTATCTTCAATCATCTAAAATTGTTATCTTATGAAAAAAAACACTGTCCTCGAGATAGGACTGAATAAGAAAGATAAATTCTTGAAGCACTATACCTTGTATCCCTCTAAAGGTCTAGATTATACAACCTGAACAGTAGCTCATTATTCAACAGAAATTCACCAGGGCTCCTTTGACAACACCTCGCAAACATATGACCTCTACCACCTGGAAAACAAAGGCTGCAGGTACATGGGAACATTACAACTTGCAAATTGTCCTCCAAGCCACAATTACCTGACTTATTTAATTGATTGATTGATTTGATTTATTGTCACGCGTCCCTAAGTACAGTGAAAAGCTTTGTTTACGAGCAGTATAGGCAGATCATAATAAGCAAGGACATACAGATTGTAGGGTAAAAAAAAACTTGGACAGAGGCATACAGGTTACATCACACAGAGTGTGCGCTAAGCAAGATCAAGATTAGAAGTTAGATAGTCCATTCATCAGTCTAATGATGGCAGAGAAGAAGATGTTCCTGAACCTGCTGGTGCGTGTGTTCAAGCTTCCATATCTTCTGCCTGACAGAAGAGGTTGTAGGAGAGCATTGCTGGGGTGCGATGGGTCTTTAATAATGTTGGCGGCCTTTCTACAGCAATGGACTGTGGAAATGGAGTCCTTGGATGGAAGGTTGTCTTCCGTGATGGTCTGGGCTGTGCACACAACCTTCCGTAGTTTCTTACAGTCCTGTTCAGAGCAGTTGCCATACCAGGCTGTTATGCACCCGTTAGTATGCTTTCAACCAGCGAGGTGCCACCACCAGACACATATTCCTGTCCCCTCCCTCGTCCGCCTTCCGCAGGGATTGTTCACTCCAGGACACCCTGGTCCACTCTTCCCTCACTCCCAACACCTTGCCACAACCCCACGCCACCTTCCCCTGCAACCGCCGAAGGTATAACATCTGTCCATTTACCTCTTCCCTCCTCAGTATCCAAGGCCCAAACATACCTTCCAGGTGAAGCAGCACTTTACCTTTACTTCACACAATCTAGTCTACTGCATTCGCTGCTCACAATGTTGTCTATATTGGGGGAAATGAAGCGTAGACTGGGTTTCAACTTTGCAGAATATCTACATTCTGCTTGCAAATAAGACCCTGAGCTTCCAGTTGCCTGCCACTTTAACACACCACCCTGTTCCCTGGCCAACATCTCTGTCCCTGGCTTGCTGCAGTGTTCCAGCAAAGCTCAGCTCAAGCTGGAAGAACAACACCTCATTTTCTGCTTGGGGTTTCTGCTTGGGGATCCTGCAGCCCGCTAGACTCAATATTGAGTTCAATAATTTTAGGGCCTGAACTCTCCCATGTCCCAGCCCCCTAGTCCACACACCAGGCCTTGTTCTCACATAGCCTGCCATTACACACTGCCTATTGTTAGTCACCAACAGTCCCGATTAACAGCTATTTTTTTCCCTCCTAGCCAGATTGTTATCAATTCCTTTGTCTGCCCAACTGTTCTTCTCTGTCTTTGGGCTCTATCCCCATATATAGTTTACCCCTTACTCCCTCCCCACACTCTATCTTCTGCAAGTAACCTGACAATTTCCTGGCTATCATCAGTTCTGAGGAAGGATCACCAAACCCGAAATGTTAATTCTAATTTTTCTTCACAGATGCTGCCAGACCTGCTGAGCTTTTCCAGCAACTTTTGCTTCTGTTCCTGATTTACAGCATTCACGGTTCTTTTGATTTTTATTAAGAATCTTATAGACCCTGGCAAGTAGGAAAGATGCAAGAACAGCAATTTTGGTAAAATAGACAATAACAGCTACCTAAAGACAATGTGAAGAGAAGCTTTCAAGCATTTTCAAAATGAACAAAATTATTGGGAAAAAAAGGATGGGCTGGAGGTACTTGGATCCTTAGAAACTGCCAAGTGCTATTGTCAGTGAAAATAAAGGGATAGCTAATGTGATGAATAATTATTTCGCAATAGTATTAAGCAAAATACCAGTATCAACACTGAAAGGGTGAAAAATTCTCAGGACCTGCAAATTTCTATCCCAGGTTTTTTAAAGAAACAGGTGAGAATATTACTGATGTCCTGCCTACAATCTTCCAAATTTGTCTCTATTTGGGAAATGTTTCAATAGAATGTAAAATTTTGCATGTCACTTGATTGACTAAGGAAGTTAAAAGGAGGGTAATTGACTAGTCTAATATTTGTTGTGGGGAATTGCAAGAGTATAATGAAGGATAGGGTGGAGAATTGCCTCGTAAAATTTCAGTGAATCAGAGTCCAACAGGGTCAGAAGTCACACGACACCAGTTATAGTCCAACAGGTTTATTTGGAACCACACAAGCTTTCAGACACAACCCTTTGTCAGGTGCAGTGAGAGAGCACATACACATATAAAAATCCATGGGATGAATCATTTCATCCAAGATGCTTATTTATTTGCAGATACGTTCTATTTTGTTAAAAAAAAACACAATTTGTAGACACAGTCAGTCAGTGTGGTAACTTATAAATTCCAGCTTTCAGGATAAAACCAGCCTGATTTCAGGTTAAAACCCTGAGACAGATTCTGAACAAAGCCTCACACCTACAATTCAGTGTCTCACCTGAGATGTCACCTTTTGGATATTCCTATGGCTCTGCCTGATTGTTATTACAGCACAGCACTGACATTGACTTTATAAACACTTTACGCATCGTCTTAACACTCTTCGTCACCTGCAGAGACTTATTATCTGACACTCCATTCACACCAGTTGAATGATCTTTTGATCTCTCTGCCTGTAAACTCTCTGCCTGTGTGTTCTGCTCTCTCACTGCACCTGAGGAAGAGGCAACGCTCTGAATGTTTGTATGATTCAAACCTGGTGTCGTGTGACTTCTGACTTTGTCCACGTCAGTACAACACTGGCACCTCCACATCACAGATCCAACATGAATTTAGAAAGGATAACTCATGTCAAATAAAATAGAAATTTGTGAAGAAATGGCTAAAGTAGTGGATCGATATTATTTGTATCAACGTCCAGAACACCTTTGATGAAGACCCTGGTAAGAGATTCTTAGCTGCAAAGTTTCGCCTCTTACAAGGCAATCAAAGAAATTCTCAGAATGGTCAAAACATTAAACAATGGACCTATATTTTCCAGGATGTTCCACTAGTCTCCTGCTAAAATATCTGTAGTTGTAAAAAATCGTCCTTGCAATCCACGTCCTACTCAGCTGGCCATCATACTGTGCATATCTCAAACTCATATTAAGACATAGTTTCCTGGAGCCATTGTTGATGGTCGGATTATAAATACGCTATTCAGAAGATGCCCCATTCCATCCTGGAGCACACAGATTAGAGCTCTGATTTCTCATCACATTTAGAGTCAGTATTGGGAGCAGTTACATGACTCGATACAGAAGTAGACAAAGAAAATCAGTAACAACTGAAGGCTTTAAAAGCATGAGGCAGTGGCATAAAGAGGTTGTAGCTTCTTAGTCGGGTGCGAGAAACCTATGCAGAAATACAAAAAAGAGAAGTTACCACCTGGAAAGTTTGCAACTTTATAATGGAAATTCCAAAGCTATTTGTACCAGATGTGAAAATGGAAAATGCTAAAGAGAATTAGTATTGAATTTAAAATATCTTTCAATTAAATATAAGAGCAACCTGCTTTGATGGGGAAACCAATCACGTATGGAAGGTAGGCACTTGAGGTTGGGCGTGCAAAGTTTGTCAAGAGATTGTTGAGGCTATGAACTCTGACCATGCTGTTTATGAGACATGAATATAACACAGGGGAAAGGAAAAGTAGGTGTGAAATCTCACACCACAAAACTTTTTATAAGCTGCTAAAGTAATGTAACCAGAATGTGGTCAAATTAGGTAATGTAACACAGTGAGGGCAGTATGTGGCTCAGTGGTTAGCACTACTGCCTCACAGTACCAGGGACCTGGGTTCAATTCCAGCCTCAGTCGACTTCTGTGTAGAGTTAACACATTCTCTCTGTGTCTGCATAGGTTTCCTCTGGGTGCACTGGATTTCTCCTACTGCTCAAAGATGTGCAGGTTAGGTGGATTGGCCATGCTAAATTGCCCACAGGGTTGGTAAGATTAGCCATGGGAAATGCAGGGATAGGATCTGGGTGGGATGCTCTTTGGAGAGTTGGTGTAGGCTCAAATGGCCTGCATCCATTCTGCATGAATTGTTGAGTCTTCTGCTGCTTAAAGAATAAGTTTCATGACACAACTTATATCTGCTGATTCCAGACATGATCTAATTGAAGAAGATCAAACAGCAATTGTTATTTCATCAGAACGTTTTTTGATTCTTTCATGGGATACAGGAGCTGCTGACAAAGCCAGTAATTGCCCTGATGCAGTCCATCTGGTTGGCGTGGGGAATCCCTCAGTGCTGTTAGAAAGAGAGTTCCAGGAGGTGGAGCCAGCAAGAATGAAGGAATGGCATCTTAGCTCCCAGCCGGGATGGTGAGTGGCTCTGAGAGGAACTTGTAGGTGGTGGTGCTCTAATGTATCTCCTGTTCTTGCCCTTCTAGATGGTAGAGGTCACATATTTGGATGGTGCAGGTGAAGAAGCCTTGGTGAGTTACTGCTGTGCATATTGTAAATGATACATACTGTTCAGACTGTGTTCCAGCAGTGCGAATGAGGGTTTTTGTTGGTGAATGGAGTACAGAGTCAGCAGGCTGCTTTACCCTGGATGGTATCAAGTGTCCTGAGGGTTGTTGGAGCTGTGCT